AGCCATGTTCAATCAAGTGTCTAACATGCTGAAACAATGTGTGCCCTTTGAGTCTTAAGCTGATACATCACCTGGAAGCCTTGCACTTCTACAAATAGAGATTTCTTTTGTTAATTTGTTTGTATTATTGTAGTACCAAATAATTTTCTTGATTAATGTGTCACTGCTCTACAACTGTTTACTCTTTCTCCTTTGGTTATATAAATATCAGTTGTTACACATGTCATTCATAGCCATCACCATATTTCTATCATCCCTCCCAATTTAAGTTCCCTTCCCTAGCTCTCCTAGAATCAAAATGAATCTCCAGAGTGTTCATAGTGAAAAAGTTACATAAAAATGAGCAGTACTTGACACGTCCCTTTTTTCCTTCTTCCCGTCCCACAAGTGGGACTCCAGACTGCTGTTTGTTGCTCTTTACATCTGCCTTCATTCTGCCTTCCAGAGTTTCATGGATTTTTTTTTTATAAATATGAAAAGAAAAATATACAATATTTGATCTATACCAGGCCACTAAGCCATGTGATGAGCTCACAGCAGAGAAGCTGTTTTTTTTCTACATATGGTGCAGTCAGCATCTGTAGTTACAACAGCTAATGCCTTGTTATGCCCACAGATGTGGCATCATAGTTCTTACTAGCGTGTGTTAATTCCTCAGTATTTACATGCAGCTTTGCAATATTCCATTATTTACAGTATTTGCATAGGCCCTTAAATGAAAACCAAACACGTTGGCTCAAAACGTTTGGGTTTGCACTGACTTCAGTGGCACATGCTAAGCATATAGTCAGGTGAGTGCTGTGCACTGATGCTGCAACCCTGCCCAGCCGTGTACCAGACCCTACTGCTGCGATACGTCCTTGTTGTGCCTGAGTGCTACTGGATGTACAAGAAGAAAGCAATTTGGTCCAAGTCAAGAAAGACTGCTAAGTGTCGTCTTTATCCAGGGTCTTTCAGTGTATATAGACTGAATAGTGTACTATTTTATCTAGGGCTTCCAGGCAAGGAAGTTTAAACATGATACAATGCCCTGCTCAGTTTCAGTCCACAGCTCCGTGGAGTAAGGAGACTCTCCCAACCAAGGGCTATTCACGTGCTCTTTGTATTTCACAGTGGAACACTGCCAGCTTCCCAACAAGAGAAACCTCTTTGCTTCGCAGAGGAAGTGGGAAGATTTGCTCTGAGGAGCAGCCATGGCTATCGCAGACCAGTAAATTAATCCAAGGTGCTGGGCAGTCGTGGGAAGGGTCACTGATGGTCAGTCCCTAATGGCTGTGAGACTGAAATATTAAGCAAAGAATTGTGCCTTGTCTAAAGCATAGCTTTCTGCTGGTATATATTGTTGATTTTGTAGTATATGGGAAAGAATTAGCAACTGAGTTTTGTGTTATTTGAAGACTGGTTTAGGTTAGGCTGGTAGGTGTTATTCTGTGTCTGTGCTGTCAGTAAAGGTGACTGCGCTTTATTTGAAACCCTTCCCTGGAACACATAAGACTTAGGAGCAGCTGTTTGAACAAAATGGAAGCTTCATCTGAGAAAAGCTGTTCCATTAAATTAGCAGCTGTCAATGACACACCACAGTGAATGGAAATAAATTTATATTGTTCTGGCTTTCTTCTCTTCCCCCCTCCCCCTTTTCTAGTACACCAGAAGTCCTTTGGTAGCAAAAGTAGTCCTGGATCTTTACTTGCTTGAGGAAGATCAAATCAGTACACGTTTTACTCAGATCAACAATAATGAGGATTGTGGCTACAGCATCAGAGTGCTGCCTTGCCAGTTATACTCTCCTGCGTATCTTCCATCATTGCTGAGATCTGCACCTTGATTTACAGTACAGGCTCCTTTTATAGGAAAGAAGTCCTGCTGCTGAGTGCTTTCCTGTGCTAAGGAATTCAAATATTAAAATGGATGTGATCAGATGCTATTTGAGTTGGCTCTAGCTTTACCATGAGATACTTTTGTGGAACAGTACCTGTATTTATCACCTCTAGATTTGCATGTATAGAGCTCCGAGTAATGTTTTGGTAGTTTTTGTCATTTTTTACAATTAGCTTTTTTTTTCAGTGTTGTTTATGGAGGTAGTGGCAGTGGAGACTTTATACCACCTGTCCCTGTGATCTTAAAAATACTACCTGAAGAACTAAATTGGATCAAAACAGGTGGATTTAAAATAATGTGGAACAAAACAATGTATTTTAATTACTCATTCTGTAAAGAAAATCACCATGGCAATTTGGCAAGATAGGACAAAAGGGAGGAAAAAAAAGAGTCAAGAAATGATTTTTGAATGGTTCTTTCCCATTTGTGATCTGTAATAGCTCACTGACAAGTTAGTACACCTTCATAAGTGGTCCATACCCTGCCTTGGTAGGGTTTACAGTTGTAAGTTTCTTCGCAAGGAATATGATATATGCTAAAAAGAGAAAGATTCATAGCTCCCCAGTTTTTGAGGAATAGAAGTATTCCACTGCTAGGCTGAAAAAGCAAATTTTTGTGACAAGTTTAAATTTATTTCCATATTTTTCAAAATTTCGATGCTGGAATTTTCTACCCCTCACAGGGTGTATCAGCTGAAGGGATGGTTATTAAATGTTGTCAAAAGCCTCTTACTGGAAAAAAAAAAGCTAATGGAATTGTAGCATAGTAAAAGTGCCTAAACCTGCCGCCTGTGGTACGCTGTGTGGGAGAATAAATGGCTCTCAGTCATGTAAACCAGTCACAGGCATTCAGATCTTTTGAACTCTAACAAGAAATGCACACTTACTTTAAATAGTAAGTGACTGAGCATATAAATGTCTTGATCAAGTCATCAGAAAAAAAATGAAAAGGGGTTTTCTGTTTACGTTTTTTTTCTGTCTGAAATCTCTATTTTACCCTCTGCGTCTTTGCTTTGCAATGTTCCCTGCTGAGAAGGACAGACTGGAAACACAGTAGGGATCTTTGCCTTTTAAGTTGCTCTTTGCTTTGCAGAGGGCTCTGTGCTTGAAGACCCGGTGTATTTGTCCAGTGTTTTGCTCAGTGTGAGCGGAACATGACTATTTAAGAAAGGCAGGGAAGTATTATTCGGTAATTTTAGTAAGTACTAAAAGAGCAGAGAGAAGTTTCAATATGTGTCTTAAGATACATGCATGCCAATCAGTTCAGCTTTTTGCTCTTTGTCTTTGGTCAAGAAATTCTGAAACTACTTTGAATGAAGGTGTAAAAAGATAGTTCTGAAGTTAAATTTGCTACAACTATGAATTCACAGGTCATGTTTATCCAAAGTGTTTCTTCAAATTCTTTGTGTCTTCTGAATAGCATATATATATATATCAGCTACTGTGGCAGAATGAAACTATAGCATGTTTTACAAGCAAGGCTAGATTTTCTTCTAATGCAAACTTGCGCCCCTTTGTCAAAGTCAAAGGATACACACTTTGCATGCTAATTTGTTTGGTTTTTTTTTTTTTTTGCTAGTATGATCCATTGCTGATTTATCTAATTCATCAACATTAATCTACTGTTATCTTATGTATTACCACCATTTTTTTTTCTCAGTTGCATAAAAATCATCAGATTAATAAAAGTCATGTCACTGTAACTGCACTGTGAGTCCAGTCCAAAGGCTATTAACGTCAAAGACACTCCTCATTGACTTCAGTGAGATTTGGCTAAAGCTTATTGTTTTCGTGCTCTTTCCATCACTGCAGTACCAGACAAATGAAATAACTGTTCCAAATATCAGTATCTTTGGATACTTTGCATTTCTGCTCTAAGAAAATATCCAAGCAAATATGATTACAACTAGAGTAAATTCTCTCTCTCTAAATTCAGAATGACTATTTAACTAGGTTTAATATTTTGATACCCAATACCTAGTTTCAACCTCTGTCCCTTTTCTTTGCATATAGGGGATGGCTTAAGAGGGTTAGACAGTCTGTTAGGGTTGGAAAAAAAAAAAGAATAATATGGCTGAAAAAGGCTCTGCTTTATTGGAAAGTTCTAGAGGACTTTTGTGTTCTCTTTTTCATCTTGACAGTGTTTGTAAGATTACACATAACCTCAGTGCTCAACTGTTTCCAGTTTTAGCATTGTGTGATCCCCACTTCCCTCTTCCTCATTCCATACAGCTCTCATAGTTTATCCATTCTTAAGCTGGCTGTCTAGGTTGCAGTTCTCTGCTTCTAAGTGTCAGTATAGGTGTGCTTTATGGGTGCTTCTGCTTTGGGAACTGTAACAGTAGCTGAAAGCAGGATTTCTAAGCATCAGTTTTGGAACATAATGAGTTGTTTTACTTCCATGGGTTCACAGCAGGCAAACCAAAGTATGAAATGATCTTATATGCACATTTCCAATTACCTACCTTTTAAACTTTCCTTGAAAGATTTAGTTAAATTCATTTCAGCCTAGTTGTCTCTCTCTGTGAAACTCAAAAAAACCATTTGTGCAGTGTACACTGTATGCCCTCCTCCTCTTCCTGCTCGTTCCTACCAGTATTGCCTGTCTAACAATTGTTCACACCTCATTCTTTCCTCAGGATCAAACTTCACTGATGGAATATGGTTTCTTTAGGTTTCTCAGATCAGGGAAGAGTAATTTTTTCTCCATTCCAAATTAACCAGTTAAGGTACCAGCAACACTTCAGTGCCCTTAGAGTTCTTCAGACTTTTTTTTCCCTTGTTTAGGCTTATGAGTGAACATCCAGCTGTTTCACACCATTATTGTACTCTGGTGAAAACCAGATCTTTGTTATGTTTATGTGGCCCTTTGTATTAAAGTATTACACTGCCAGCTGCTGAGGTGTTTGTAGTGTATGCTTGAACTCCTAAAAATATCACAATATCATCACAGTGTCAACTGTAGAAACAAATATTGTGAGTGTAGTATCTTTCTTGAACCAGCATAACAGAATGGGTAGTTTAGTTGTTTACAGGAGTGTGTACCCCATATGACAGAGACAAGAAAGATCAGAAGAGTAGTCATTGCAAATCTAAACCTTAATTTGTTCTGTTCTGCCTTAGCTTGTGGCCGTGGGTTCTACAAATCCTCCTCGCAAGATCTGCAGTGCTCCCGCTGCCCTACTCACAGCTTCTCTGACAAGGAGGGATCTTCAAGATGTGACTGCGAAGATAGCTATTATAGAGCACCTTCTGATCCACCATATGTCGCCTGCACAAGTGAGTCAGTCATGAATTTAATAGTAAAGGATGTTGCTTAACCAACCAGGTGCAGCCACTTGTAGCTAGTAGTTTCGGTTGGCTTTTCTTATATTTGAAAAGTACATTGTAACAGTAAATGAAATTGAAAGGCAGAGGGAAAAAAAGTTGCAAGTGAATACAGAACACACATAAATATGATATTCATGTTTGCTTGATATAGTATTTGAAAATCTTGCATGTTGGGTAAGTGCATAACTCATTGTAATTGATAGAATACAGGCATAGTTTTCCCATGGCTGTAAAATTGTTGTAGACAATGTGCTTTATGTGATATAATACCAAAATGAGTAAAATGAAAAATGAAAAGTAACCTGTGTGGATCTGAGCTCTGATTGAACTGTAATTGGATCTGGCTTAACCTTCCAACTGCAAATAGACTAGTCTGCACAGATTGGGTGGTTCAAATAGCACAAGTCTCCTAAATCCAAAGCAGCACCAAATACCTCTGTAAATCATATCAGAGCTGATAACAAAGGACTAGATGCCATTGGTGCAGTATTAGAATAGATGAACAAATCCCATACTTGGAAAACTCTAAAAGACAACCTTTCAGGTACATTAACCAATCCTTTTAATTGCACAGAAGAGAAACAGCTGAAGTCAGTTGCAGTAAATACAGACAATTGTTATTCTGATGCCTTAATGGAAAATAAATAAAGCCCTTGCCAAGTGAGTTCAAGGAAGCTTTTATGCAGCTTGTACTAAAAATAACAAAATGTTTATGTGAAGAAAAATGCTTCAGCTATTTTCTGTCTCAGTAATTCAAATGGTAGCTACATGTCCCACCATGGTTCTGTGCAAATTACCATGTTTTTTTTTTTTTGTGTGTGTGTGTTCCATAGGACCTCCATCTGCACCACAGAACCTCATTTTCAATATCAACCAGACTACCGTAAGCTTGGAGTGGAGTCCTCCTGCTGACAATGGGGGAAGAAATGATGTGACCTATCGCATTTTGTGCAAGAGGTGCAGCTGGGAACAGGGCGAATGTGTTCCCTGTGGGAGTAACATTGGATATATGCCCCAGCAAACTGGATTAGTAGATAACTATGTCACTGTCATGGACCTGCTAGCTCATGCTAACTACACGTTTGAAGTGGAAGCTGTGAATGGGGTTTCTGACTTGAGTCGTTCCCAGAGGCTTTTTGCAGCTGTCAGTATTACCACCGGTCAAGCAGGTAAGTTTTCATCACTTATGAATCTCAGCACTCTGAGACTGAGAGAAAATGGGAACATGCAAACTACAGATGCAGTAAATCAGGAGCATGTTTGGTGTGTTCTGGCTCATTAATCTTTTCAGCTTGCCAACTAGTTAATTTAAGCTTCTACTATTTCATGATAACCTGTCCTGTTTCTTGGCCTCAGGATTGCTTTCAGAAAAATCATTCATGAAAGACATGCAGCCTTATTATTAAATAGATTTTCCTAACTCTGCAACATTTTTTTTTTCTTCTTACATCATTGTAGGTTGTTCCCTAGTATTTGCAGAGAAAAAAAAATAGATGTGACAGTCCTATGCAGGCTTCCTTTCTGAATTTTTTAAACCCGTGTAAGAGTCCTAGGTCACTGAAAGACGATTTGGATATCTGATGGTGTTTTCAGTGCTAATGTTTTCCATAAGGATAATGTTTCTAATTTATCTTATATTTCCAGATATTTGATTATAAGATTCAGTGAGAATGTGATGATTATTCTTTGTTTCCTCTACTTATCATAATCTGACAGGTGAAATGTCAGGGAAAATAAAATCAAACTAGCATATCACCCCAGGGGTAAAAAGGCTTTAGTTGTGCATACTGAATGGAAGAAAAAGGATTCTCTGATTTTGGTTTCTGAAATGGCAAGTTGCTTGTTGATAAAAAAAATGGACCTCTGATCTACAACAGTGCACCGTCGGCTTTGAGAGAGGACAGTGAAACTAACATTTTATACATCGAACGAACGATCTTAAACTGAGCATTAATTATAAGATCTGGCATCTGAAGAAATGCCTTAAAAGAAATTATAAAGTAAATAAGTGATGCTTACTGCAAGAAGAGATAACCCGTGTTTTAAAGGATAAAGGGTACTTCATACTTACATCTTGGAGGAAATTTTAATGACTCTGATCAAGCTATTCTTTTTTTTAGTGCAGTAGAAATGATCCCCTACAGTAATACTTTGAACTGAGGACAAACGCACCGTACAGGGCCAATGAACAAATAGGAAAAACTGCAGTTATTTTGCACTTTAAAGATAGTAATCTGGGAAAAAAAAAAAAAAAAAAGGAAAAAAAAAAAGAAAAAAAAAAAGACAAGGCATTTACTTCAAAGCCTTCCTTCCCTCCCTGCCAAACCTAGGATGGTTTATATAGTTGTTAAAGTTAGGCTGGAATATTTATGGGATATTTAATTTCCCCACAGTGCTTTGCTGGATACCGAATGCACATTTTATATTATTATGGAACCATCCCTGTGGCTGAAAGGATTGGTCTCTGTGCTTGTTCAGTTCTTGGAGTTCATGATGACATTCTGAGCACAAAGCACTCACCCTACAACTAGTTTTGCACGGCAGATTGTATTATTTTGGCACCTTGATTTTTCATCTTTAAAATAATACCCTATAATTCTTCAAAGTGCACAGGTGGATGGTGCTATACTCTCTGTAGGTGTCTGTCCAGAACTACTACATGAAGAAGAGGATTTGGACTTTTTCCTATTTAGCTAAATCACATAGCTAAAGCTTTACTTTGTGCTTTGATGGTTCAGTGGTACACAGGGTAAAGGAAGAAACAGTGCAATTTGGTGACTAGTATAACATCTCAGGAAGATGAAGAAGCCTTAATCAGATATTGTTACGTTAGCCCGAAGATTTGTTATAGTTAATTCTCTTATGTTCTCATAGTCATAGATTTATAGGTATTTTCAGGGCAGAAAACGTAAAATGTTTATCCTGTGTTATCTTATAAGTAATACAAGCTGTATGATTTTGTGAAATATCCTCCCATCAAACCCAGAGATGTTAGTGAAACTAGAGCTTGCATATATATTAGAGACAACATCTAGACTTTACCTAGTGATCTTAAGTAGTGGAAAAACCCTCACCCTCCTAGATGAGTTTTGTAAGAGCATGCAGCAGGAAGCAGGAGACCTGACTGTTCTTTCCCTGCTCCCCAGTTTGCTGTGGGATTACCTACAAGGAAGCCCTGCCCAGTGCTATGGAATCTGACACTGTCACTATTGAGAGAACGGGTACTCGTGTAACTGAAGCTTTGTCTGTTTAGCATATCAGGTTTTAAAGGCTTCCAGTTGGACATCTAAAAGGAATATACGTAGGAAACAGCTTTTGGACAAAAAAAAAAAAAAGCTTTAAGCTTTCTTTGTTGGAGTTTTCTCTATCTGTAAAATGAAGGTAACCCTTACCTTTCCTTATAAAGCTCTTCAAGATTTTCTGATTAAAAGTGCTCTATAAATGCAGCACTTTTTTTCACCCTTATTAAAAAATTCACGTTAAAGAAAATAGTCTTTCAGAAATAATGCATTCACCAAAAGGAAAGACCTTTTTTACATTATTTTTGCAACAGCATATTTTGGATCCTAATACTGATTTCTTTGGTTTCTCAAAGAGGAAAATATTTTAGGTGGAACAGATTGATGACTATAATTGAACAGAAAGAGACTGGTTGCTCAAAGGAGACTGTTATGCTTCTGTGCTTCTATTTTATTTTACCATGGAGAGAAAGAAAATGTTGGATTTATTTATAGCCAAGTAAACTAGGATTCATGCAGCTTTCATTTGTTACTGTGTGACTGTTCTATACTTTTGGCAAAAATGACTTTTTCTATGCCCATATTCCTTTTTATGTGTGTAAATGTGTCTAACTAAACCTTCCTCACATGTTATTATGCTAGCACAATAGGTGTCTATATATAATTACTGGGTTCACCAGTTGCACAGAGGCTTGCAGTGAGATTTTCCTTTTGTACTGTTGGTTTAATTGAATTGATCCTTTGTGATCATATTCACAAAATTCAAATCATTGTGTAGTGATAACAGGAAGTTATTGGTAAAAGAATGGAGCTATGGAACATATTCAGTGTTTCTTCACCCACATATAACAAGCTTCTGATGAGACAAAGAGAGCATGTCACAGAAAAGAACCAGGTGGCTGATGAAAAACTATTTACATTTGTGGAAATAACACAATAAAATGACTGCAAGTCAAGTAGGTATCATTTCACATTGGTCACATATATACGTATGACACACAGTTATTCATTCCTTGTGTTAAAAAGACTTTGTGACTAGGCTATCACTTGTCATATGGCATGTGTTTTATGCTGCAGCCAAGAACCATGAGGCTTTTTGTTTTGCTTCGTTTTGGTTTTTTTTGACAAAAGCATGAAAGAACTGAGCTGGAATCAGAGGTAAAAGATTAAGTGCACTAAATCCCTCAGGAGTGAACCATCTTGTTTCATATCTTGCCTATCCAGCATCACATAAAGAATACAGGATGTCATCCTAGTATTGCAAGCTGATCTATGTGATCTGCTGCATCCTCACAGAATTCAGATTTAAATGTGTCTAAGCCTCAGCTACAATAGGTGACTGTACTTGAAGAGCTGCAGCTGGCAAACAGCTGACAAACACTACCTTTGCAAGCTTATTGAATGGATGTTTACAAAAGATAAAATTTACCTCTTCACTGGTAAAGTAGTCACCTTTTGGTGATACTGGCAGTTCTTTGAGAGCCATCAAATTCCTTTCCAAATTTTACATTTTTACCATACAACTCTCAAAAGGCTAATGGATTCGGGTGTTTTTAGCAGCTGATAGATATTTGTTGGATTATGGCATTTATGCCATTTTAAACCTTTAAAAAAATATCAATATCAATTGTATAATTTTTCTGTTTACACTTTTGCAAAGGTAGTATGGTTTTAAAACACACTTTTCTAGATCCTTTTCTCTGAAATTTATCAGAATGGACAATAGACTGGTCTCCGATAAAGGGTGATATTCACCCAATTTAACTTGATTTTGAGAAAACTTAAACTAGATTGGATGAATTGCAACACTTATCAGGGTTTAAGAAAATTGAAGTGTCTGTACTGAGCCAGTTTGAGTTGTCTTTATAGTCATTGGGAAGAAAAAATAATAACTAAAGGGACACTCATCGTGTCTTAGTAATGTAACCAAACATGGCAAACAAAAGTTAAAATGTAATGCCAATACCTGTTCCTAAATGTACTCTCTGATCTTATGCAGAGAGCGCTTACTAATGCTCGCTGCTTCTTCCCAGCAAGAGAAAGGTTCCCCACAGTACTCTTAGGTTGTGCTACATCTTCAGATGCACTTAATGCTGACCAAGTAGTTAAAAAACCCTGATTTGGTTCCATAATCAAGGCTTACCCTTGGAAATCATTTTTAGTAACAATTTATTTTATATTTGTTGATTTGCCTTTCATTTTTTTTTTTTTTAATCTCACAATTCAGTTTTCAAACATTTTCCTACAAAGAACAGATAACCAAAATTCACAGTTTAAAAAATCAAAGGGAACTGAATTTTTCAGTTGCATTTTCCCAGCAACTTGAGCAGAAAAAACATCACATGCTATAAAATCATGACTGCTAGCAGCGGTACTATTAATTTACATGTCGAGAAGAAGTGAACGAATGCATAAAGGAAACAAGCCATCCTTTATGCAAAGCTGTGTCAGGGGTCCTGCCTTTCTTATGTACTTCTGATGTCTTTCTAAACAGGGGAGACACTTTGCGTTGTCCCCTAGTTTACATGCGCCTTTCATTGTTGCTGCTCATCAGTTTTCTCTTCTTTGCTTCTCTTTGCATTTTCTCAGTTCTCAATTATCTCTACTCATTTTTTAAAGTCTCCTCTTTCATAGTCTCTGCACTATTGACTATCTGTTTGTTTCCTGGTCTCTGTCAGTCTTACGTAAGCCTGACTTTTCTTCAGCAATGAGCTGTCCTCCAGCAGGAGCAGCAGTCAAGAAGATTAATGCCTGTGGCTTTCCCAGTCACTTTAACCTCACCATTCTCGTCCTATTCTTACTTCTCTCCTTTCCCCAGACCATTTTGATGTCTTCCCATTCTGCCACCAGGTTGTTCAATCTAACTCCATCTACGACTTCCATCCAACGTTCAGTTCTGGTGATACATGACAGCTTATTACAAATAGCTT